CAAAACTGGATTAGTTGTGATTCTACAGGGAACACATATTGCAAAAATAATTTCTTCAAAGTATGTAGGACTAATGGGTGGGTCTTGCATTTGTTATAATGCTCTACTTTATGTATTCACTGTTGTTTGTTTGCTGCTGGTTAATCTTTGCACTACTATTTAGTTAATTCATGTAATACTATACTATTTCATTGTATATAGGCTACTGTGCATTTTTTTATATTAATATGTGTTACTCTGTTATTTTTTATTGTATATATTGTGCATTTTATACTTAATATTTTTATTTTTTACACTTTTACTTCAATTGCTGAAGTATATTTTTTGCTGCTGTAACGAACATATTTCCCCTTGTGGGATGAATAAAGTATATATCTATATATCTTTCTATCTATCGGCAACAACAAAATCAGATTCTCATTCAGTGATTGGTGGCAGTCTAACATCTGGTGAATTTTCCAAGACTAAATATACATTACTTTAACAAAAATAGTATACAAATTTAACGTGTTCCCTTTAGTTGATAATTTAATAGAAAAATAACAATATCGGATTAAACTATAGGTACATATACATATATTAGCCTGTCAAAGGATTATGGGCGTGTAGTTGTTGAAGGTTAATAGAATAATGTATCACATCTTCTATATCTCTGTTGTGGCAAAGAGTTAAACATTGTACAATGATACATGACACTATCACCCAGTACATTACAGCATGTTGTGAAGCAGCCAATCCGGAAGTGGATTGGGACATCGGCTCGATAGGGGGATGTCAGTTTAAAAACACAGATCTGGCAACCTAAATAACAATTGCAACTTGATGTGATAGAGAGCAGCTCTTATGGCCAATGTTTCTGTTTGATCCAATCAGAGAAGAAAAGGCACGAGAAAAAAGGCTGAATTTGCTCCGACACTGAGACAATTCATATATCTTTTGCACATTCTAGTAGCTTATTGGTGCCTCCACGGCCATACCTCATATTAGGTTGCTGGATTAATATGTACAGCCAGCTCAAACTATGAAGCAGTGTAATAGCCATATTGTTTTTACTGCCACGTCATGCTGGACATTTGGCTCACGCCACATGGGTTTACAAGACACCGGCATCAAAAAAAACATTTTCAAAAGACTTGTACGCCAAATAGCAGAAAGGAACAGAAATGCTATTGAGCGTATAGGTTTATCCTGGTGAAAGACTTTTTTCTCATGTCCAAGTAACTGGTTAATTTGCTGTTGTTTAAACTGGATACACTTCAGATTAGTGTACCTAATAAACTGGAAACTGAGTAGCTCTCCTTCCACTCAGAGATGTGTCTGTTGTAGTGTTTTTAATATTTAATGGATTTCTGTCCAGGTCCATTTGTTGTGGTCCACTTGGTAAAGTTGCTTGGGTAACTGCTGACACAGTACTCCTTCAGTAAATCAATAATTCAGAAACTGTCGAAACTTTCAAATGCTCTGTGGTTCCTGTAGAATGGCAAGCGTCCACAGGTGGGATCAAATTGGTTAGAATGTCTAAAAGATGGGTGGAATTCAAAATCTGCCAGACTATAAGCTGCTCGGCTCCTGTCAGCCGAAGACACAGAGCATCCTCTCCTGCTGCTGCTGGTATGTTTTAAATGTTTCGAAGAAGCAGGGGAAACTGTTGCATGTTGGTATCTTCATTTGAGGACAAACGTGTGATTTCCGTGAGTTTGGATGTTTTTAAGGACCAGGATTTGAGTTTGCATTTTACAAATATACATACATTCTTAGACTCAAGATAATTTGTATGTTTATGGGGGAATAAAGGTTCAACTTTAGTTAACTAGTATCTAAAATGAGAAACTTATCTCTCCAAAAACGTCCTTTGGTAATAAAACAAATTGTTACCTCTGCAGGGTGAAGTCACGGTGGGGAATTTGGTCCTAATAAAGAAATCACTAAGTTTATTTGTATTATTATTGATTTATTTGCAGGCTATAGTTTTTTGCTTTAATATTTGACAAAACAAACAACAAAACATACATGAATCAAAAAAGAGACTTTAAATAGAAACAAATGACTTCAGCGACTCTAAAATCGACTCCCTACATTTCCAATTTGTAAAGCAATTCATGTAGAAGAATGAATGAATGAAGTGAACTGAAATTACAATTCAGTCTAAGTTGTATTCTGAACATGTTTGCAGAACATATATAATATACCACATAACCAGATCTAATGATATATAAACTACTTGTTGACATTTCACTTGGAGTCTGTCTGTAAATTAGATATTGGCCATTGTGTCCTTTATCTGTCCTAGAAGCTGATGCTATCGTGTTACCTGCTGTCCCACTAAAGGAGGCTCAAATATTTCCTTTTCAAAGTGTACGCCACTGTTGTTTCAGATGTGCTCAGAATAGCCCAATCAAGTGCCTGTAAAATGTGAGCTGATGACTGAAGCGTTTATTAGAAGAAGAAAAGAAACACGGCCTTGAATTGAAAATATCTAGAATTAAAAACGAAACATCTCAACTGGGACGGCTCTCTCCTCCCGTTACCATAGAAACTGAGCAGACGTTTTGAGCAGGATTCAGACATAAAAACATTATGAAAACCATTAGATGTCTTGATATCATTAATGATTATTAAGAAAAGTACTGCACATCAAGACATAAAAGGATTCTGACATGTCGTTATTGCCTCTATAAATTCAGATTTTCTTCCAAACTTCATAGATCAAAATATGAGAAAAGACAAAATAAATATAACAAAAATAACAGAGCCATGTGGCTTGTTTAAGACGTTTTAGACAACTGTTTAGGCTAAAGTGGTGGAATGTATCTAAGAGCATTCATTATAGTACTGTACCTCCATTTGATGCTGGATTGTCATATCAAAATACTAGACAATATGTAAAATTGTTAAAATGAGCCTCGCCTTAACATCAAAATGCTGCTTACACGTTTATTCATCAATAATAGTAACTTATTAAAATGTGTTAGAAATATAACATCAGAATATTGCAATTTCATAATTAATAAATTGCAATTTTTTTTTTACAATGTCTCTTGTTTGCACTGAACTGTCTGCTGCTGTAATCCTGTAAATGTCCCCGCTGCGGGACTAGTAAAGCACTATGTTATCTTATCTTACCTTATCTGTAATAAAACACTTTTGTACCATGGTATTGCTACTTTTAAAGTCTAAGTATCTCCTCTACCACTGCTAAACCTAGCACTGGGTTAGTGAACGTTTTTATCTGAAGTAATTACGACATTTCTGACAGCACTTGAAGGCAACACTGGTGGAATGCCAGGGGGCGTGGCTGTGAAGCTACCTACTCGACGTCATCATAGTTGGGTCTCATGTTTACGTGGAAAACATGGCGGCGGACTCCCAACAAGGAGACTGCACTTAGTAAACGGCGACTGACGGGCAGCAGGAAGCCGGACGAGACACACATTAAACCGTTAGTTTTTAGATTTTTCTTGCCGATATTTCGCATGAAGCAGTCTCCCTCTTGTTTCAGCCACAGGGACCGCGGTGATGGAAGACGAGGAGAGGCAAAAGAAGCTGGAGGCCGGCAAAGCAAAGGTAGGATTCTCAGTTTTTTTGGGTGTTAGCATAACTATCATTGATGTAAAGTAGTAAATCCATGTTGTCGACAACTTATTTCCTCGCGGCAGGGTCTGTCAGCTGTTTTTGGGCCCCCTCCCCTTCTTCTTCTGCCCCTCTCAGCTGTCAGTCCCCCCAAACGTGCACCCTGCTCTGACAGCCGGATGGGGGGGGGGTTTGGCTCGCCAGGGGTGTTAGCATAGTTATCCACTGCTAGCCACAGAGTCCTTTGTCATGCTGCATGTCTAACGTTACAGCAGTGTTTCATTGTACTTTTCTGAAACGTGTGCACACAGTGCTAACTTAACCACCCCGCGAGTCAGGCGGGACGTCGTTACGAGAGGCTTGTGCAAGCTACCTGAGGTGAGGCGGACGAGTGGTGTAACAGGATTTACAAGACTTATATCCCCACTAGCTACAGGAAACACTGCCCCACATGCCACACTTGTGCTACATTCATGGCGTTATCAATCAGCAGCATCAACATTTAGGTCAGGAGGACAACCCCCACCCCTCCAGTGACCGATGCTACAACAGGACCATGCTATCCTTGATTTGGCCTTGTAAACCTGCAATGATGTCCATGTCATCTTTACTTTTGTAGTGTTTTTATGTTGAAAATTGCAATTAAATGAATGGTGCACTGCTCTGTCTGAGCTCTGCTAACTCCCCTTTTGCGGCTCTGCCTGGTGAGGTACTGCATGACCTTGCGGCAGCTCTGCTAATGATATCTTATAACCCAAACATCTTGGTTATGAGATCTTAACCAGATGTGATGTGCCAACCTCCACTTTTGGCATTCAATAAATAATGTAAGGTATGATAATAACACGTTTCAAGACATGTGGCCAATTGGATCAAGCTTATGTGCAACAGAGAGAGGAAATCAATACAACACATATTTGGTCAGTGTAACTTAATTAATCCTGATTGTCTCATCATGGTACAAAAATCATCACTATAATTCACAAATCACTCGCTATACAACTGTTAATATTGCAGTTTTTGTCCAGCTCTTATTCCCTATAAACATTTGGCAACGCGTTGGATATTGAGAATAAGAATGATTTCTTTCAGGTGGACTTGAAAAGGTCCAAACTCTTTCCATCCCGGCACTGCAGAGTTGCATCTAATAGGTTGTGCCTGGTGTCTCTTTTTGTCACTCCCGGTGTCAAATTGGAGATGCTGCTCTGGCTTTTAGGGTTAGCACAGCGGGAGAGACTGTGAAAACCACCATCTCCCTGGTTATGACTTTGGCATTTTGTTTTATAAAGGACCCCTCTGTGCTGCAGGAGGGTTTGCTTTTTTTTTAAATTTTTCACACAGTACTATGTCACCATGCCCTCACACACGGGGGAGAGACATCACAAGATATTTCACTGAATAACACATTTATAATGGTTAGCAGGGATATCCAGGGCTTTATTATTGGTTCTAATAGCCTCACAAAGTCACAATGAATCTTGGAAGCTTGGATTGAGTCCAAGCTGATGTACATCAATCAGAACTCTATGGGAAGATGCTGACTTGACAAACGGCCTCTCTAAACTTCCAAACACAGGGGAAATATTCAAACGAGCTGTTTTAAAAATAAACAGACTAACGGCGTTTTCGGGATTAGCAGCTGTGATTTGTCCAAGTTGAGTTCATGTTAACGTCTCAGTGAAAGGAGAACCGTCGATCATCTTTTGTGCAGCCGGCTTGGAATGACGTCCATCCCGAGCAAGTGCCTGTTGAGTCATACCTGACAATGAAGCGTTGCTTGTAGGCTGGTGTTGCCGGGCCTTTTGTTCCGAGCCATTAGCTGCAGCTTTCTTTTTTTAGCTAACTTTTCTCTGTGGCAAAATGGACCACATTGACAAGTGCATTACCAGCATAATGGAGTTACTCACACACAACTTCTTCAGCGCAGTACTCCAGTTATATGGCACATAAAGGCTTTAAGTGCAACATTTTTTTGAGACACTGTGCAATGATGAGCTCAGGATGGTGGAACAATTTTTGTGTTCGGTCGGAGAAACTCACTGACTCTGATATTCCCCCTGTGTGGACGTAAACATCATCTCTGTTACTTCCTTTCTACCGGCCTCTTACCTCTTTCGGGTCCACACACCGCGTAAACCCAGACTCGGCAGACGCTTGCATAAGGCTTAAGTCACCTTATGGTGGCACACATAAGAAGACTTTGTGTAAATTGCCTGTATAGTTCAGTGCAGTTACATTTTGTGACCTGAAACATCAAAGAGAGATGTTTTATGTTTACAGTAATGGTTGAGACGTTGGCTTCTTTAATATAATGAAATTAACTTTTAATATTGTTCCCTTTGTAATGTTTTTGTCTGTAGATCAGTCCTGCCCTTAGTCCGGCACACACAGTACGTTGAACCGCACAGCTTTTTAATGAAACTTCAGGGAATAACCTGCCGGCTCATTTGCTGTTCCAGCATTTTCAGAATGCTACAGATTAGGCTCAGGGGCACTGCAGCGTTTTGAATGTGGCCCGAGGGAGTCGCGCATCATTCAGGGAGGACAGCCTGCTTATTTGTTTCTCTGCTTTTCTGATGCGTCTGCTGGTCGCTGATTAAAAGTATCTTTGTAACTTCCCGGTTTCTGCCGTTATTATAGATCGACTGGTTGATTTGTTTACTTGCAAAGCTTGGTACCATTCTGCAAAAAGAGGCCTTAGGGCAGTGAATATCTGACGCACAATGCTGTTTGTAATTCTGCACTTGTCGACTGTTAAATTCTGTTTGTGCTACAGCCTTACTGTCAGTATTTCCAAATCAAATTACAATATATTATTGCCTAAACAAACTTTTTATAGGAGTACATATATGTTTAGCCTCGGGTTTTCTTGAAGTTCAAATAGCCTAAAGCTCATCCTCGTTGAGGTTTTGAGGACAGCAAAGGTACAAGTTGATCTACTTAGCGTAAGCCTGAATGGTTAATCCTAACCATGTGTGTCGCCCTGCACAGCTCTATATGATGAATACACTTTGATCACCGTGGCCTGTTCATCTCGTTAATTAGCTTTATTGGCACTGGAGGGATTGCTTTTATGCTCCGGTCTTTATAACTCCTATATGTTTGAATATTTAACATTTATTTCTTTTGGAGCTCGTGTGATGTCATGCTGTGCGGCTTGAGATGGGATTGCCCTGTGATTAATTGAATGTGAAGGTCTAACAGCTGTCCAGTTTAAATTAGCTGCCACCTGGAGGAAGGTTAAACCTAACTTACTGTGCAGGTCTGGAGCCTTTTGTTATGACTGAGAGGAGTCCTTGCCCCTCTTTTGATATTTACCAAAACTTGTTTTAACAAGTCAGCATCTTGCAGGAAAGCTGTAGAAGCAGGAAAGTACAAAAGTCATCTGAAGCTGCAGCTGCACACCACAGCTGATAACTAATGTAGAGACACCACACCACGGAAGAGGCTGGTTGTGAGTCACTTTATTTCATGAGAGAAAAGGTTTTCTGTGTGCCCAAAATAGCGGAACAGAATTTTTAATTATTTTTTTTTGCAGCTTGATCTATTTGGTCAAGCACTGCAGTGTTTTACCGCATTCATGCAAAAGTGGTTTTGCACCAAACAATCTCGAAAGTCACAATTGTCGATGATGATGCATGAGTACCTCATTCTCAGCTGAGGTTATAAGGATACTTCACTGTGATCATGGCTCAGGTTTGTTGAATGCAAAGGCACGTATAGGGCCGGGGAAAAATAGGTATTGCTTGAGAGAAGCGAGGGTGATTCGTGGACCTGCAGATTAAACGGAACCAAATGTCCTTGTTCAACAGACAACATGCGCGTGCTGAGAATCAGAATAAACCACCGTAATGACTCTCTGCTGCTGTGTTTTCAGGGCGATTAGCTATTGTTGATCGCTAACTGGGATGTGTGTGTAAAGCAAATGATTTTTATTCTGTAGTTGCTGGGTGTTGACTAATACAATGTTGCTGACAAGTCTCATTGACACATGACATTGGAGGCTGTTAACCCCCTCTGCACTAGTGCATATCAGTGTTGCTTCGGTATTTTTAGCTGCGTGTCTCACAGGCATCAACCAAACTACAGAAACACTCTTTTCATGACACAAATGTAAACCTATGTCATAAGTATATTAAGCAGCACATGGAGTACTTTTTACAGTGTTTTGGCACAAAGGTTTTGATCTTCTGAAAAAGACTTTTCATGCGTCATCAATTCATAAATGCAAGTGAAGCATTAGCTATTTCCTCACTTATCATCATACATCACATAAAGCATTCATATGTTTGCTTTTATTCATATTAAACCTATTTTAGATAGTTTCTTTCTTCAGATTTTGAAATTGCTATGACAATTGACATGAGTGACTTAAAGCCTGAAGATAAAGATAGGTGGATGAAATATTCTTAATGGTATTGTAATTTATAATCATGATATATTGATATATCTCATGATATAGTACAAGTTATATTCGGTCAACTGAAACAGTTCATGGATTACATAACAAGAAAGAGATGTTTTGTTTTGGGCTAAATTAAGTAATTAAATAAAATTGGACACTATCTCATCTCAACCCTACTGCAGTGTGTTTGAGTAACGTCCTCAAACTGAAACGTATCCTGCTGAAACAGATTTTTGTTCAAAAGCAAATAAAAAGACTCTCATGAACAAGCATCCGAGCTCATTCTGACTGTCATTGTTTATCGCTCCACGCCTCCCAGTAACACCAGATTGTAATTATAATGTAGTTCATCTCAGCAGCTGAAAGAAATCCAACTCACTTGTTGTTGATGCTGATAATCAGCCACTAGTAGTAGACATGGATTCTAAAAAATAAAAAAAAACCTGTGTAAAGAAATCTGCCTGTGTAAATGTTTTCAGACAGCAGATGGTGATACACCTACGTAGTCTCTTTCCCCAGATGGTGATACAGCGACAGGCTCCAGTGCTCCATATGTTCTGCCAATGCTCTGCTGTGCCCAGCCAGATAGGGCAGCTTGATATGATAAGCAGCTCAACGGAAGCCTGGGTTTCCCGAGACTGCTCCAAAACTCAGGGTGATTTCTGCTGGCGGGTCCACCGCGTATCCACTACGATTACTAATGTCTGATACCGACTGAGTCAGAACTAAAGGATGGCTCGGTTGTTGTGGTTTCACAGCCTCTCTGTTGTCGTAATCACCAGATTCTCCCATCCTGTAAGACATTCATTCATATCTCACTCCTGGTATTTGATGGATAAAGCTCTCGTGGAAGTACAGACGGATGGGTATATTTAGATGAGGGCTGGGGTGTGTGTGTGTGGAGGTGCAGAGGCACAGATCAGAAGCCCTTTGCTTTTAAGCTGTGTGTTGTAGGCGGAGGGACGTGACCGCGACGCCCACTCACAGCGCTGTCGTGTCGGCCTTGAACCTTTTGTGCAGCACCACCAAACCTGTCGAACAGCGCTTCGTTTCATGCTGACTTTGCTGCTACAGGAGTGCGGTGCATACAGTCTGTGCTGCATGTTCTACAGTCGGTGAGGCAGCAGGTAATTGATTAGTCGATCTACATTTCGATAATCGATGTTTGTTCATGCTAGAACAAACAAACTCCAACTTCACAAAGGTCAGGATTTGCTGTGTGATATATGATAGTAAACTGTGGGTCAAATCGAGAAGGTGATCAAAATCGATGAGCGTATGCTGTGGGGAATTTGAAAGGGGATTTTTCACTATTTTCTGCCATCTTATAGTCAAATTAATTAATTGATCATTCAAGAAAATAATTGCCGTATTAACAAATACTGAAAAGAATTGTTTTGCATCCCTAGAGCAAAGTATTGAAGGTCAATCAGCATTAGTTGATTGTGCTTAAAGGGGCCCTGTCGAGTTTTCAGGAAGCCTCATTAAAGTTAATGTTTACATTTACTGTTACTTACTAGTAAGCACATTCAATTAATTTAATTCCTGCATCGCAAACAATTTGCAGGATCCATTTTAACCTGCTAGTCTTCTTCATGCCTTTGCCAGCACGTCGCTGGTTTACTTGGTATATCACCCACGCCTGTAAATAATTTTAATTTATCGAAACCAATGGCAGGAATGTGCGTAACGGTACAGGCATGTACGTGTGCACAAACAAAACGAGGACCCACTCATGAAAAGATTGCTAGCACTTCTAACACCGCAGGGTACCTTTAACTGACATTTATGGACTGGGTGATATCACCATATATGCTTTTAAATTTCATAGACTTAGCTACTGCCAGATATGTGGCTGTGTCATTTAAACTTTGCTGTACCTTCTTAATATTTGGAGGTGTATGTATATACCCATGTCACTGGGTACATGGGTAACAGGTGAGCAGGCATTAGCAAGGTATTCTTGGTAACAGTCTGTCTATATATCTATATATATATATATCTTTAGCAATCCGTGCAACACCTGTGCCGTGACACCTGCAGCCCCTGCTGTCTGCCCTGCTCAGCTGACTCTGCCGTCTATTTGCTGTCCCCCCCCCCGGTTGTTTACACATAATAAATACAATAGTAGTAACTAACCAGGCGGTGTAATTCATGTCATCATTGGTGATGATTAGTGTGAAGTACTCCTGTTGCTTTTGGTCACGGTGTCAATTAGTTTCACTTGTCCCTCGTTAGCCCTGCTCGCAGCAGACCTCCCGCTCACCTGTTCTCACTTTCCCCAATCAGTCATTGGTACACATACCAGCACAGTTCCTTTGTCTTGCCCTTTGTCTTGGAGTCTCAGTTTGTAAGCCTTTTGATTAACAGTTCATTTACCTGCACCAGTCAGCCTGCAGCTCTGTCCTTGCTCTGTTGCCTGACAAACAAAAAAGCAAAGACATTTGAAGATGTTTTACTATTCTGTGACATTTAATAATCGGTTATTGATCAAATCAATTATTTGAAAGGTTAGTCAATAACAGAAATAAGTGTTGCAGCCCTAATTTCTATGATTTGAAGATTTCTTGCAGACAGAAGACTTTTAAGTTTGTATTTTAAAGTTTTAGTTTATCCTTTTAGAAGCACAATTCATGAAAACGATTGAATCAGGCCAAGCAGCACGATACTGTTGTGAAGTCCAATCCCAAATATGAAACTCAAATGATATTAAGAAGTGGAGATTGGTTCTTGTACCCACAAAAAATTGTTTGCAAAATAAAGCAGAGGGTACCGTTTTGATAATAGCGAAGGAGATCAGTGTTATCGCCGTTCAGACGAGATCGTTGACACAGTTTAGAAATGCAATCCTTTTAGTCGGGATTAGAAGCTGGCAGAGCAAGAGGCATGTGTTTGGTTATTTGGACACCGGGCGGGACGACTCACTTGGAGCGGGGAAGACGCCTTTTTGGTATACACAATGTTTCGCTTCAGTTTCACCAAACTGGTTCGACTCAGAGTGGGTTCATATGTTGTTTTTTACTCTTTGTTAGAAGTATAAGCTCTTTGCTGGGCAGACTCATGAAGTTGTGAATTAGACAAAAGCAGGTGGTTCTTAGCATGAGGGTCGGATAAAAAAAGATCTGAACTGAAGCTCCGACCAGAGATGTAGACTAGAATACCTAATAGAGAGGATGCTTCAAGTGTTGTTGTTTTTTCAACTTCTAAGGCCCACCATTGAGTCATATCTTTAACATTGCCTTTTCCCCCTCTTCCTTCTCCAGTTGGCTGAGTATCGCCAGAGAAAAGCTCACGCGGACTCCCAGAAGAAACAGAAAAAGAAGAAGAAAAAGAAGCTGGGAGAGGACTCTGAGGGGGATTCGCCGAGAAGGGTGGAGGTGGAGCCGGATCCGTCTGTGGGAAGAGAGGAGGTCTCAGGTGGAGGACAAGATGGATCACCAGAAGGACCTACAGACCCACCTACCACAGAGTTTACCTTCGCCAGGACACTGCGGAGTGGAGAGACTGTCAAGCATGACCAGACCTACACAATAGAGGTAGACAAAACAACGTATTACAGCAGTACACTATTCACATACAGAATCCCATTTATTATTTTTAAGCAGATTATCATTGATTTATGGAGAAAATTTGGAGAAAACAACATGAATGATTGTTTCACTTAATCAATCAACCTGCTGACACAAGTGAGAAAGGTAAAGATTTGCCTCTAATTAGTAATCTGATGAGAATTCATCTGCTGCATCCTGTGGAATTTCAAAATAAATGTGCCCTTCAGGAAGGATTTCTGACTGTTGTTGTGTTAAAGTTGATGAAGAATAGAATCACAATTCAGACCTAGGTTTAACTCGCCCATTGGTACGGTCATCCTTCTCTCTTTACAATTAAGATCTAGCCACTGAGAAAACAAGTGAGTGATATCTCAGTTACTCATTCGCAGAGTAAAATCCTCATGGCCACTGGTGTACAATATTGTGAAAGACCTCTTGTTACAATAAGACAAGACAAATTTTTGGAATTATTTATCAAATTATGACTAAAACTATTTTTTTGGTATGACGCATCCAAAATATCCCTTCAGAGAGTTCACTGTCTAAATGCTCAACATTTCACAAAATACATCGTGTTTATTCATGATTCTGGGTTGTATTGGACATGAACGTGTTTCTTTCTCCCGTCTCTGTTGTGGCAGATTTGATTAATACTATAATAATTAGTCCGTCTGCTCCTCCTGCACCAACGAAGTCTTTTAACTTCAGGCATTTTATGCCTTTAGTTTTCTATCATCATCATCATAAGAGATGTAATTGTACCCGCTGTAGAACTGTGTGAAAATGATCATTGTTCTCCACCGAGTTTTGTTTCTTTTGTCTCCTGGAGCTTAATGAGCCTGCTGTAGCTGTCATGACAACAGAGAGCAGTGATGTAGGAAAGAAAAAAGTAAATAAAATATTTGTTTCCTTATTTCCTTCAGAATTGTTTTAATTCTGTCTTCATTAATTGAAGAGTGTGTGGAGATGTATGGCATTATTGAGTCACACAATTTAACTAAAACATAAACAAATATGGAATTACTAATTCCTACACTTCACCATGTTCATGAAGAATAACATTTCCCAGAATTAATAATTACTTTGGTTTTAAGGGAGCCTTTCTTTCAAAGAAAAGCCTATTTCTTTCTTATAATTGGTACTGGATTACAGAGTTTTTACCACAAACCTATCAGTCAATTATGGATTCTCACAATGCACATTGCCAAAAATCAAATTACACTTTGTATTCTAAGAGTAGACTTCTCAAAAAGACTTAAATACCCTTTTGAGATTTGTCTGCAGCATGATTTTAGTTTGCATTGGTGTTTTGGGTCTTGAGACTTTTGCTGCAGACTCGATGCTGTGCTGTTGGAAACGAGAGCTTGAATAGAAGATAATCCTGTAATGTTGTTTTTACACTCAGCTACTGCTGCATTACAAGACTGCTGCTTTGCTGCCCTACGGTTCTGTGATAAATATCAAAAATTCACAAACTTCTATAAGGTTTTGATCGTGCCATGCCTGCTTTAATTCAAAACATGGTTTTCTCATGAAGACCATTTGAAAGGATAATTGGTATTTACTCCGTGAACGTAACAAACATGCTTCAAACCTGCAATAACTTCTCAATAATGATTGTGATAAATATTACATTGTTATATCAGCTCTTTTATATCAGCTCTTTTAAAACAGTTTGAAAAAGGTGCACCGACCTTTTTTTATTTTTCCTTCCATCATTCGAGTCGTCTCGGTCTCTTCTTCTCGGCGCTGTGCAGCCACTCGTATCTGACCCCGCTGTACATCTGATGCGGTACTTCTGCCCACAAAACTACTGGTTGCCATGGAAACAGACAATAGCCTTTTTAAAATGGGTTGAGATACGTCGGCCTGTGTCACCAATTCCTGCGGGCGCACAACACTTCTTTAGCAGACCTTAAGGCTGATTGAATGTTTTGTTGCAAAGGAAAAAAAGAAGAAATTTCATCTTGGAAGCAACATTCCTGTCAGACGTCTGTAACACTGAGACATTCTGTATGTTTACGCTGTTCTCTGTCACCAACAAATGAAACTCGTGCATTTTAAGAGACTGAGCCACACTGAGCGAAGTGTGTGAGAATTATTTATGTTCGCTTAAATTGTGGGAAATATAATGTTCTTTCGGTGGAGCCACTGCGCTCAACATGTGACACGCCCACCACGGAAGAGAAACATTGTACTCCGGTGATGCACGTATGTTCTGGGACGCACATTATGCTGAATTAGCTTAGCAGGAAAAGCTGCGGTGCTAAAACACACATCCATCCGCACACTGACGAGCACGAGCCATTCAACTATTATTCACATCAGAGGGAACAATATTAACCATATCATTAAAAACGACACCACAGACAAATTAACACAGTAGTAACGCTACTGCAGATGTAAAAACACAAAAGCAGTTCACTTACCACAGCTGCTGTTCACTTAAAGACAAAGTCCATCCTCCTTTCTTTGATTACAAAGAGTTCAATGACGCGGTTGTACAGAACATTGGTGCGGTTCAGTTCCAGCCAGAGGTCCTCCTGCGAACGTGTTCGTTGAGTTGTAGATCCACTCGGGTCTCAGCAAAAGTTTTCAAACTTAGCACTGTAGCTTGTAAGTGTCCTGTCCTGCTATGGTGTCATGCTGCTGCCTTGGTTAGCCACCTCAAGTTAGCAAATCCAGTGTAGCTCTAAACACCAAGACGCTCAGTCGCAAATAAAACGCATTCTAAGCCATAACATGTGCAACACTTCTCCAACGCTGTCAGCCAGGAATACCGTTGGTACAAATCCTTGTCAGGGCTGCTAGCTGTGGGGTTGGCCGACCCTTTCTTAAGATCATTCTGGAAATGTCCTCCAGAAAGGCGTTGCCAGTAACTCCCAAATCCGTTTCTCCTCCTCCTTCAGCCATTGAGTGTTAAAAAAACAAAACTTCACCAAGCAAAACGCTAAAAATGTCATGTCAATGTCACAACTACTTGCATATCTTTCAACTTGAACTGTTAATACTAAGTTCTGCTAGCTAGCTTCAGCTTCACAACAGTCACGCTAGCCCACTGACCAATCACAGCGCACGTTAATGCTGACATACTTGTAGACTACCTCGGTAGCTCCGACATGTCAAAGAATACGCCCAACATGTCAAACTAAAGATCTGATTGGTTGAAGACTATGACAATCAACAATATTGTCCCCATTCACTTAAACTGCACATGGATGCACTTGTGAGTCTGCAGGCCTGGGTCTCTGTTCTTACCTAGAGACACAGAGGTGAAATCTGATTGGATAAAAGCTCTACTTAAAACAAGCTGCACTGGAAGCAGAGCAACTGAGGAAGACAGTAGCTGTGCAATGAGAAAATAAGATAATGGGAAAAATAATTATAATACATGTAGTGTATTTAAGAAATATAATTAAATGATAAAATAGCTATAACTTTGTGATTCTGTTTATGATGGCCCACCACCGCTCGAGGGTTTTTCTAGTGACGCAGCTTTTTGTGAGCAGGCAATGGTTGCTGTGGAAACACAACAGCATCAAATTGGTTCCATTGTCGAGTGTTTTACAGTCGACGTAATTGCAAATACAAATGTGTTGACTCACCGATGCCGCTGAGACATCAGCAGCTGCAAGGAAACTTTCCTGAATTCAACAAGGTCGTTACATAATTTTCATATGTCATATGTGTTACTTGGTCAATATTTTTCTTTGTGCACTTTGCTTTTTCGAGGTGCGGAAGTTATGCAATCAAAGTAAAACCTGTAATTTCACTCTTGTTCTGGACCCCATACAGTTTCAAAGTATGACGCAGGAATTAACCCAGAAAGGGACTTCAATAAAGGCCGTCATTACTCCGCAGGACTGAGAAAGCAGCTGTGGGGCAGAGATTGCAATTTTCTTGGCCTATTTATAGATTTTTTTATTATCATTTTTTTTTTTTTATTCTGACCACCCGATGTTCTTTCTAAGAACCACAGTTGACGGCAAACCTCCGCCGTCCCCGAACCACCTGAAAAATATTCCAGAAGTCAGTGTAAACCTTCATCCTCTGAATGAATGAATTACAATATAATACGTGTTTGACTGAGTTAGTTGTTCCAAATGATTGATGGTGGTTCCTCCACCGCTTATATTGATCTCGCAGTTGTGACAAATTGCGAGTTTTATGTCTTCTTCACTCACGCTGAAGAACTTCGTGTGTGTGTGTGAGTGTGTGTGTGTGTGTGTGTGTGCGTGTGCGTGTGCGTGCGCGTGCGTGTGCGTGTGCGCGTGCGTGCGTGCGTGCGTGCGTGCGTGCGATGTTACGGTCTGTGCAGCTGTGTGTCGACATAAAACTATCATGCAGCACATGTAGTTCGTCTCTGCCCATATTTGATTAGAGCCGACTGAAATGGGACATACGGCACGCATTGTTTCAAATTCTTATGATTGATCCAATACTGAAGCAAGCAAAATGTTTAAAAAAAACAACGAATAAAAGACCCCTCATATTTAACAGTTGACATATTCTGTCCTGTTAGTTTTCTACATTCACTATTGATGAGATTCTCTTGATCTTCTCTGTTGCAGCCGGAGAGTGAAATGTCCACTACTGCTGAAGATTATTCGTCAGAGGTGAGATGAACTTTCTGAAAGTCACTTTGTGATATGAACCTTTATTTTTTTTCCTCCTTTTGATTTTATGATAACTTCAAATGTTTACCAAGTTTACACTGACACAGTTTGCACATTGAAGGGCTGCTGGTGTGGTCGTGTTCATGGTCACACCTGTGGCTCACTTCCTGTTACGGGGATCCATATGGGACACTTTACTGACCGAAGATACTTTTTGTTTCTCATAATAACCGCTTATTCGTCAGATTTTTGTGACTTGTTGTTTTAATTGGAAATGGTAGTGGAGAACTGAAACAGATCACAGTGGATGTGCTCAGTTACATCACAAGCTAGTAGAATCTTTCTGTGGAGGATAAATCACTAAAATCAACTTTAAACCTAGCAGATCATTTTCAGTAAACTAGTTGGTCTTAGTTTAAGTTTTAGTCCTTCGCCTGTTCTTAAAATGTGTCCCTAATGCACGTTGAGCTGGATGTTGTACTTGAATGATGCCGTCCCGACTCCCTTAATGTTTCACTGACAGCGTTGTGAATTAACAGGTAAATGGGTGCCACGATGAGATGACAGAGAACCTAATGATGCCTTCGGAGGATTTTATCTGGGTACAGTAATCTGATGAAGCAGCTCTTTTGGTTCTGCTGGCTGCTGGACGTAACTCTGTTTGCTTATACTTTAGATTTCGCAAGATTTCTTATAACCCACTAACCAAGCCTGTTTTATGCTGCGCTCACTTGACCGACATACCTACATATATGCTGGGCATTTGAAAGCTTTACAGTGGGGAAAGGAAAAAAAGAATCAAGTTCTGAAGGACAATATTGAAAGCTCAAATGGCGGAAGAGTTTAGGATGGAAACAGGGCTTTGTGACGTTTTTTGAGTTATAAATGATGTGTGAAAGCTGGGGGTGATTCAGGTGAACGATAGCAAAGTAGAGGGAGGACAGTTCCACAAAGAGCTTCTGACTTTAGAGTCACTGAGGCGATATTTGAACAGAGGAAACAGAAACCAAGGAGGTGCTCATCAATACTCCCCTTTTTCATTTCCTTGAATTTGTTGCAGATTTAAAGACTTGTCGGGTCAGATACTTTTTCTGGTTCTAAAAATGAACTGAAAGGATAAAATTACAGCAAAATTTGATTTACAATTGATGATCGTTTTCTTGATTGTCTTGCTAAATGTTGGAGTTTCCCTTTTTAATTACTTTGAGAACCTACAACAATCAGATCTGTCGGCAATCTGCGAAATTAACGACAACTGGGAAAGGATACATATTTTAAACAGTACTATAGTATTTTTTTTCCCACGTTCAGACTTAACTTTGCTTGACCCACAACTTCTTGTTTTCATTGACAGTATTAAGTTCAATCATCAGGGGTTTAGCTGAATTTAGTTTCCTTTCTGGCTTTTTTTTAACTCCCCCTTATACTAACAGACTTTGCCGAACTGCTTTGGGTTACTGCCGTTGCATTTTGACACATTCCTTCATGTGGCTCCTGGCTCTTGCAACTAACTGCTGTCGCTCTATGGTGGTGACTAATTGCTGAGCTCATTCTTAAAAACATCTCGGTTGCTTTACCGAAACCCTTTTTTTTTTTTTTTTTTTAAAGTGCCATTTTTCCGTTCAGGAGGAGGTGGAGTCCCTGCAACAGGTGACGAAGGGCGGTACGATGGAGGATGCTCTAGCTGCCAAGACCCGGGCAGCGGAGGAGCTGAGTCGAGAGCTTGAAGAAATCAGGGCTGTCTTTGGCACAGAGGGAGTACAGCAGGTAAATGTTTTATTACTTTATTATAGGGCACACTGCTTCTTTTTCTTCTCTACATTAAGGCTAAACTTCTGTCGGTGCTTATAGAAAAGACACAGGGTGGAGAGTGTCTAAACTATTCTGAATACCCGTGGCTGTAAATGACGAGCTGTAAAACATTCACTTCAAGGGCAGGAACTTGTTTATTCCTTTATCAGAAAGCTGTGTAGCCTAAACAATCATCACATTCATTGCCTCTTTATAACACCTCTTCAGCCTGACAAGCATGTGTGTTTTACTGCTGTTTTTAAACTGTCCTTGGGGAAAACCTCCACATATTTTTGCTCTATCTCACTATAAAAGGGGATTTTACTTAATTGCATTTGACTTTTCTAGCTGCAGGACTTTGAGGCTGCTCTGAAGCAGCGAGATGGCATCATCACCCAGCTGACGGCTAATCTTCAGCAGGCTCGTGAAGAGAAAGACGAAATCATGAAAGAATTCCTGGAACTTACAGAGCAAAGCCAAAAGCTACACATTCAGTTCCAGCAGGTGGGAACTAAGTCTAAACTTCTGTCATGTCATGCACTACCTACCCTCACAGGTCACGACACTATCCTTTTTGTTCCTCTACTTGCTATCCATGTATTCAATAAGAAATAACTGTGTGTATGGAAAACTCCCAGCTGCAGGCGGGCGAGACGCTGAGGAACACCAGCCACAGCAGCACAGCAGCTGATCTTCTGCAGGCCAGGCAGCAGCTCCATCACTACCAACCGCAGCTGGAAGAGCTCCAGCTCAAGCTCAGTGAGATGGAAATGGTGAGAAGTTGCCTTGTGCGATGCTCTGTTAAGCGGAAGTGGTTACACGGTATGCTCTCGATGTTGCCCCCTGCATTTCTAATAGTTTTCTTTTTCCTTGTAGTCACAGGGACGATCAGAAGAATCATTCACACTGAGGATTAGCGAAAAGGACCTGCTGATTGGTGAACAGCAGCACCTTATTTTGAGTCAGAAGCAGTTGCTGACAGAGTTGAAGACAGCGGAGCAGTCTTTTGCACAAACACTGAAAGAGAAAAATCACTTTATTTCAGAGCAAACCGCAATAATCACAGAACACGAGCTGTCGCTGACCCTGCTCAGAGAGGAACTCGCTCACGTGGGACGGACTACTGATGAGAATATTATAAACCCGTCAGACGAGAAAGACCTGATTATAGCGGAGCAAGAGAGAGTCCTTTCAGAACGCGACGGCTCTCTCGCCCAGCTCGAGGATGAGCTGGAGTCGTCTGAAAAAGGCTTGCGTGACCTCCAACAGCGAATGGCTGCAAAGGAATTGGAGCTTGACAGATGCATGGATGAGTTGGAGAGCAGGAAGTCTGACTTGGAAAGCTGTAAAAGTGAAATGGAGAGCGGGAATTTGGAATTGGAGAAAGATCGAGCGGAGTTAGAAAGCTGTAAGGGTGAACTTTCAGCCTCCAGAAAGAAAGAGCGGATGTCATCTAACGACATCATGCAGCTCATGGGTACTGTAGAGGACCTGCAGAAGCGTTGCCACCAGGGCGGCCTGTCTGAGAGCAACACCCTCCAACAAATGCAGGAAGAGACTTCGAGGAAGCTCGAACTTCTCAGGGCAGAGCTGGACGAGATGTACGGCCAGCAAATAGTCCAGATGAAACAGGAGGTTAATTTGCAGCACGCAGCCAAAGTGGAGCAAATGACCGAGCAACATCGCGCTGAGCTCGAGTTTCTGAAAGCACAACAACTGTCTCAAAGCGCCACTGTTCGCGTTGAGGCGGACACGCTCAATGCTAAGATTGGAGAGCTCCAAGAGACCATAGAGCAATCCCAAGCAACGCACGATAAAGCCAGACACGAGTTTAGCCAAGTGGCCCAAGAGAAGTTCAACCTGCAGGCCAAGGTTGAGGATCTCCTTCGAGATCTCCGCTCTGCTAAAGAAAAGGTGGAGCAGGTCTCCCACAGTCTCATCTCTCAGGAAAGCCACCCAGCTGAACTGCAGCGCCTCCAAGAGACCATCGGCGATCTAAAGAGCGAGCTTGCTGCCGCTCAGGAAGCGGCACAAGAAACCGAAATCCAACACGACTCTGAAACAACCAATTACAAGATCAAGTTGGAGATGCTGGAGAGGGAGAAAGATGCCGTGCTCGACCGCATGGCGCAGTCACAGGAAGCAGAGCTGGACCGACTGAGGACCCATCTTCTCTTTAGCCACGAGGAAGAGCTAACTGTTCTTAGGGAAAATTTGCAAAGGGAGAGCTTCCTGAACACAGAAAACCTCCTCAATGTAGCCGCCATCAAACACGAGAAGGCGTCGGATGAGCTGCGCATCGGTTATGAAGGAGAACTGCATTCGTTACGAAGAGAGAAGGCGAGTTTTGCCACAGAGCGAGATGAGCTTTTCCACCAAATCGTTGGACTAAAGGAGGATCTAAAGCTCGCTTTGCACAGCTCCAAAGCAGATGGGCTCGTCCAGCAGCTACAGGAGCTTCAGGTAGAGCTCGAGGAACTGAGAAAGGGAGGAGAACGAGCTCCAATGGAAAGGGAAATCAAGTCGTTACTTAAAAAGACAGAGGTGCTTGACAATCAGACTAAAGAGAGAGAACAAAGTTGGGAGAGCAAATGGAAACGGCACAAACTGGAAAAAGAGGCATTGATAGAATCTAAGAACGCTTTGAAAGAAGAGTTGGACTCAAAGATTCTGAAAATTGAGACACTCGCAGCAGAGAACAATCAAATACAGCGACAGGTAGTCGGGCTTCGTGAGGAAATCGAAACGCAGAGGACCACTTTCTCCTTCGCCGAGAAGAATTTCGAGGTGAACTATCAGGAGCTGAAGGAAGAGTACACGTGTCTTATCGAAGCAAAGACACGATTGGAGGAGAGGACACTGAAGGAGACACTTGAGTTTGAGGCGAAAATTGCCAGTTTTCAGTCCCAGATTCAGGAGCTGGAGGAGAGCAGCAGAGATCTCAAAATGGAGGACGTGAATACAGATGGAGGGGAACAGGTTGTGATAGAAAAAGACACTACAGAGCTCATGGAGAAGCTCAATGTTACTTTGAGTGAGAAGGAACGCCTGGCTGGGAGGCTTTCCGAAGTTACGGAGCAACTGATGTTCACAGAGGGCAAAGTTGGACAGCTGGAAGAAGAGCTGATGAGAGTGAGACAGGCGAATGTGAAGGCCATCGCACAAAGTGAAAGCCCGGGGAAAGGACTTGAACAGAAGCGAGAGATTACAAGAAAGCAGACGCGGGGGCAAGACGCCCAGAGAAAAGCGGAAAAAGAGCGAGCCGATGAACCAGTGTGTTCTTTTGACGGCCATCACCTTCAGATTCAGTCTTTGCAAGAGGAGATAAAGGCTCTTCAATCCCTCTTACGGGCAGCCGAATCCGAGAGGGACGGCATCCGGCAGACCTCGGAGCTCCAGAGGCTTTCGCAGACTCCGTCTCCGGCCGCCTCGGGGGAGGGACCTGTTGAAGGACGATCCTCCTCCCCGCACAAGCCCACCGCCTCGGGGTCAAGCAGGCGCAAGAGGCGGCAGAGGTTCAAGCAGGAGCGCAAACTGGGCACCGCTCTCCCCGACTGCAGAGAGGAAAAACAAAGGGAGGAGGCAGAGGAGGCAGCGGGGGAGGAAGAGAGAGCAACAAGTGCTGCAGAGCAGGAGATGCAGCCTCAGATGGAGAGCCCGGTTATGTCATGTTCACGAGAGAGGGCCGGCGAGGAGGACTCCACTGACGGATACCAGGGAGAGGGAGACTTCAGCAACAAACAGGTGGGCACACGCATCTACTTCACCGCTCTCCAGTCGCTGCCTTTCTCTCTTCCTTTTTAAGTCTGATTTAAATGACATGTTTCAGTGATTAATGGGGGGGCATGACAAAAGAAAGCGTAGGTGAAATTGCATGCTGTAGAGATATCATATTCACAATTAATGAGATGTTTGATTCATCAGAACTGCGTGGATTTAAGTCATAGCCACATGACGCTTTTACATCAGGCTGAGCATGACTGAGGCATTTTAGCACTGAACTGTTTTCTCTCATTCAGCGGCATTCCTCCCGTGTTACTGTGGGAAGAATAATGTAATAAGAGAAAATGCACACACACACACACAGCACCGCCTGCACGCACGCAACAGTGAAGTGTCAAGACCTCATCGATATTCTGCCCATTTCTAGATTCAAAGGAAACACTTTACAATATTTATAATCTGATTTCATTTGATGCCGCTTGTCCTCAGTCACCCACAGCCTTGTGACAGCTTTGAATCACTGCCATTGTGTTGAAATGTGTACATTCTAGTTTCTTTCCATCTTGCAGGGAGTAAAGGGTTTGAGGTGAGAAGCCATTTTACCCCGAGTCACTTCTGTGTGTCACTTCAAGCTGTGTCAATTATACCAGGCAGAAGATAGTCTGTCTGACATTTCATATGTGTTTCATATTGTTTTTGTCACATCCTGGGTTGGAACACTACATATGTTCCAGAGTGACATGTTTAATGTCTTTAAAGATAATTGTACATGTGTCTGTTATGCTTAATGGCATGGGGACAATTACATTTTATTGAAAATATAATAATATAAACTGTTTTGTGTCAGTCCTTATACATTTGTACAATCGACAATAGAACTTAAAGCAGTTTATTTTTAATGAGGTTCAGTGTTTAGTCCAACATGCGCAGATCAACTGTTATAAAATCGTAATAAACAGCACTCCACATTGAACTAAATTGAAATAAAGGCAAACTAGATGATGTTCAGAGTCCTTTCGTTGTAAATTATAGTGGATGAATTTCTGCTCTTAATTGAACAGATGCCTTCTCCTCCCCCTCTGGAAGTGATCGATCATGACACATCTTGTCTTTCTGTCCATCGTTTTCATAGTTGTCTGCTTTTGTACTGGGGTAATGTGTAATATTTAAGACGGTTTTTAAATAAAGTACACTATTTGTCTTCTGCTTGCTTGTTTAGGTGAGCAGACATGGGACGGACCACCACACGGAGCCTGTCGTGTGTCGGGGAGCCGAGGGAGAGACTACTCAGCATGTAAATGTCACTTAAGCTCACATGCTGCCCTTTTTGCTTTTCATTGTTGCTTTGAAACATCATACATTGTGCTGTAAAGGTCTATAAATAGGTACTCAAACAGATGAAACACAATGCAAGAACAATTTTGTATTCTTGTCCTAAAGAGCTCTTACTTTGTGTGTACGGTTTACTAAAATTGGATTCAACAATCTTGTAAATTCAGGCTCCTTTCAGCCTGATGAATGGCACCTGTTCATGATAAGTTGTGTGGTCAAACGTCCCCAAAATGCTATACAAGGTTGCCTGTTTGTGTGCAGGTTTCATCGACAGAAACATTACCCGAGAGTAAAAAGAAGAAGTTAAAAGTCCTGCAGTCAGATAACGAACAAATAAATGAACGGCATTACAATTTTAACGGTGCCAGTAGTGGTATTAAAGTTATCAGAGCAGAGCCGTACTGTGACAGAAATAAAGAAGGAATGGTGTGAAAACATCTTTCTAAAGCGAAGCGGTCAGTGATGCCACACTGTCGGCCGCATCGAGGATGATCCTTGACAGCACCCGGAGGCAGCTGTCGGAGTCAGACATTTCTGAGAAACTACGCTGCCGTGCCAATATATGCCAATTATATCTAGACAAACCAAATATCGCTAAATTTGCTTACCAACCATTTTTTGGTATGCGTTTATTTTATTATATTTTATTTTGGTCACATACAATATTAATTCAGATACTAGGTAGGAAACTTAGTAATTTTCGTCGTGTGTGTGTGTGTGTGTGTGTGTGTGTGTGTGTGTGTGTGTGTGTGTGTGTGTGTGTGTGTGTGTGGCAGCGGCACATCATAACACAGCTGCCGTATGCATATTAGACACCGAACATCTCTCATCTGCATGTTTTAAGCAGAGACATCTGAGCGGTTGCAGGTTTGAAAGGACTCTCCACACCACACATGTAGTGCGGATGTGGAGATTGTATCATAACAAAGCCTTTTAAATACGGACTAATTCAAATGTAGAGTGTGCTTTAACGCCCCTCTGACATCAAAGGTAAATGAATCACAATTTCATATATTTGTGTAACCCTAACAAATTTGTGCTAATGCATAATCAGAGGAGGCGGCCTCCCTGCCTTTTGTTCTGTTACAGACGTGATAATAGCCGACCTCTCATGCTGAACACAGATGGCTTGTGCTTACTGCACTCTCATGCAGTACGATTAAACAGCATAATTCCATCAATCCTATTATTTCTATATCTCCTCTAATTACCAAATGGATGTGGTATGCTGCACAATTTAATCTATGATAAATTATAAATATGTACCTTTTTTACAGCTTTTCCAAATATTCCAATCAGTCATTTAGTGTCTTGTTAAACATACTTAGGAATATTAAGACAACGCTCCAATATAAAGTCACATCATCAATGTGGGAAAAACAGACATGTTCCCCCGTGGTTTAATCCAGCCGCTCTAATGTGATGATGTTTCTTCCCGTGGTTAGGGTGAGTGCAGGCTGCAGATGGAGGCGCAACGCATCAGCCTGTCTCAGATCCACGCCGCCCAACTCGAGCTGCTGCAGGAGGATTCGGACGCCCGCGCACACACTCTGGAGCTGAAACTGCAGAACTGGAAAGATCACGGTGACCAAGGTGAGCAGATGTGTAGACGGTCTCCTTTGAGTGCTTTTGTGTTCGTGGCAAAGCTTCCCCTCAGAGATGGATTTGATTTATCATTCATGATGGATCAACACAGACAGCCGATGTATCTAGCTTTGTACCCCGTTTGTTGTCTGTGTGAAACATTTGAATTATTCAATTAATTACAATTTTCTACTTCTTTTTCTTTTCAGATGAGCCAAAAATCTTCAAATATCACGACATGTTACAAGCCGTGTCAGAAGAATGCAGTGAGATCATTCAGGTGATTACTGAGGACAAACAGTAATGTTTGAGGTTTTCAGAATGAATTTTATTATTGTGTGTTGCCAAGTTACCGTATCGGTTAACCTCGTCTCTCTCTCCGTTTTGTGATCAGTGTTTTCAAAGGATGTTCGGTGAAGAGGTTTTGGAGAGTGGTGCTGCAGCGGACTGGCCGCCCCCTTCAGTAGAAAGACCAGACACTAGAGAATCCAGCTCCATCATACTGGAGGCCAGAGGTAATTAGTCTCTCAAAAAATGAATTGCAGTCCAACAATTCTTACAGATGAAACGGTGCATATTTTCAATGTAAGATGCACTGCAGGCAATTATTAAATTCACATTTTACCTACAAACTGCTTTAAGATAAGATCTCTTTTTTGCGATCGCATAAAAAAATGTACATACTAAGAAAATATCTGTCTCATACTTTAGTGTCTCCATTGAAACCCTTACAGTTTAATCTAAAAAGCAAATTGCTTTCTGTTGTCTAGAGCTCTACAGAGATCTTCAGCAGGTGAGGGAGAGGATTGAGCAGGAGCACCGTCGCCTGTCGCAGCTCCAGGCTCAACTGAGAGCTGATGGGAACAAGGTAAGAACACGAGCAGACATCAGCTGTGTCTCAGTTACATAACATATGATCATTCATCAAAATGTTTTGAGTATGTTGTTGGTTCACACTGGAAAATTGGCAAAGCAAAGTATACTCAAACATCAGCGTGTATAAAAATGCTTTATTTTTGAGATGCTATTTTCCCACAATGCATTGAAGGATTGTACTAAAACAAAGGTTAGTTTGAAACACACAAATTACTAGTAAATCTTACTCAACAATGTGTATTTATGAAGTTGAATTGGCAGTGAGATTTGCATGTATTGTGCTGTAATACGCATTCCGTATAGAAATGGCACACGTTATGAGCGAATCTGAGGAACAGAGAGGATAACAACGCCATCAGAGACAAACTAACAAATCCGTTGCTCTCCTAGATGACGGAGCTACAGGTGGCGTACGATGAACTGAAGAGCAGCAGTGAGAAGGAGATCTCTGACCTGCGTGTGCAAGTTTCTAGCTCAAGCCCCTCTACAAGCAAAGGTAAATGTGAAGTAATCCCCTCTAACGGAAAAGGAAAAGCAAGCGGGTCAATCACTAATGTCCGGTCTCTGAGTCAAAACACTTCTTTTCCTCTGTGTTCAGCAGCAAACAGAAAACAAACACTCCCTGCTTTGATTGTTTCTTTCTGTGTCAACCTAGTTGGCAATTAAACCAAACTTATTTAAATGTGATAATGTCAAAAGACGGGGGAAATGTTGCACATCATACATATGTATATATAATGTTAAATGTTTATCTGTAGACTACCAACATATACTAACTAGTTCTTCCTTTTCCTTAAAAAGGGGTGTGCAAACGTATGTTTGTATTATTCTCTGTTGTTTTCTGTGATTCGTTTCTTTCACCGCTCTCTGTTCATTCACTTCTGACTCGATGCTCTTATCTTTTACTGCAGCGACCGGTTTTTCCCAGAAGGAACATGAAAGTTTCATCTAATCGATTCTGATCTTCTAATGCTATCCAGTTCTACGTGTTGGATTTCACATTCCCCTTCTCTGTCGGTTTAGATCTGAAAGAGCGGGCCGGCGCGCCATCTGCCTCCCTTACCGAGGAACTACAGCTGCTGAAGGTGGAGGAGCAGGAGAAGCAGCTCCAGCTGGAGGAGAGTCACCGACAAAAGATGGAGCATCTCCGAGCTCACTACCAGCAGCAGGCCGCGGAGAGCGAGGAGCGATACGCCACCGAGCTCTTCATGCTGCAGCAGCGCCTGCAGGAGGTCGCAGGCACTCAGACCCACGACAGGTGACGGATGGAATGTATTTCTATGTTTTCACGCTAAGGCAATGAACATCTTCAGCAAGCCCTCCTCACATAGATAAGGATTAGAGCAAAAGAAAATATAACCACAGGAAACGAATAGGATGCCATTTAAATACACAATTATTTTAATTTGGCACATGGACAGAACAGAATATATTTTTAAAGTAGTACTGAAGCAGTAAGTGGTAGTTGTTCCACTGCTTCCCAAACACATCACTTGTGTTATTCGTTGTCCTCCACTTGATTGATTAAAGTACACGTGATGGAAGAACAGCAGGCTAACTTTGACTAGAGGCCGGTCTGCACATCCCGTGTGGCATGTGAAAGCTACCTGACCCAGTTCAGACAACAAAGCCTCAACTAATGAAATATTTACGAGGTTGTTTAAAGCGTTATTCGTGCCTTTTGTTAGCCCACTACTCTAAAAAAAAAAAAAGTACCCTCTCCAGATGGCTTCCCGTGCAATGTGCTGTGCAGAAAACAAGATGAATATGACATTTTAAGCATGCACCACTCTTCTGACTCTTCTTTATGTTGCATTTTATGAGGTTGCTGAACGACTCCAGGTCTCCAAAATACAACTATAATCAATTTGGCGACGGCCCTCGTCTATGTTGCGTTTATGCACACACAGTACTGCTGCCCTCCACTGTTGGATATATTAATATGATTACTACAGTGGTTTTCTACACCAACCGTCATGTTCATTCATTCATTTGTGTAGTGAGACCAGGTATTATTTTCTATATTTTAAAGACTTAAGTCTTGCGCTGAAACAATTAATCAATTACTCTTTTTTTTTTTTTCCCAAACAAAGAAATACAGAAACGGTGACTGGATTGTCAGAATAGTTACTAACATTCTCTGATTCCAGCTTCTCAGATGTGATGTTTTGCAGCTTTTGTCATATATGATGGTAAACTGAATGTTATGGTCGTAGGACAAAACAAGGAACTTGAAGACAATTTTAGCTAATTATAAAAAACATAACAATTAATCTATTATTAGGGTAAATAATCATTAGTTGCAGCCCTAGTTATGTAATCAATTTAGTTTGATTTTATACTAGTGGAATGTATGTTTTTAGTGTTTTGATTGTTTTGTTACATTATCCTTCACAATTTAATGCTTACAACTGAAAAGCATGTAGGCTGAGCTCGTTTTGTGTCAACATATTGTTGTCTAATGTGTTGTCTATGGCAGAATATTATGCGATAAAAGTTCATGTTTTAAGAAACTAGCACCAGTAAGCTGCTTCATGGTCCTTTTTATAGGTACATTTTAAGAACTTACATTTTACTTGCTAATAACGGGAAAGTAGTTTTAAAAAGAAGCAAGAAAATCTGTTAAACTTATTTAATGTTGTCGAACAATTAATTTTGACTTCTCGTTTTCTCTGTCTGTCCAGTGCTCCAGAGTCCAGCTGTGAGGGGATGGAGGGGCACGAAGAAGAACTAAAGGTTTGGCTGCTACATTTTGCCCTAATCTAAATTGTGTATGTCTCATGCATCACATCTTACTACGAGCTGATACGTGTACAAGCATTAAGACGCTGTGACAGTCGGGGGGGCAGTTGCAGCCTTTAGGCTCAAACGTGCCCTAAATTCTCCGGCTTCGCTTCCGAAGCAGCATCGTGACCGGTCCCATATCAACGATTTAAAAGGGTTGGACGTTGCATAACCCGCCACTTTAGCGTGTCACTCAAGAACGTACCGACGTACTCTAGTCTTGGCGGCTGCATGAAAGGAGGACTCTGCCCTGCGTGAATGAGCTGCACTCCACTCTCACTCGCGTCACTCCAACACTGTCTTTGCCTTCCCTCCAACCTCAAAGTTTCCACAGCTCGTGGGACTGTTGCTAAGATCAGAGAGGAAGATAGAGTAAAGGATTGACAGAAGAGCGACAACGGGAGAGAAGCTGGGCATGATGCACTTCTTTAAACATCTTTAAGACATTTGGATTGGAAATGTTAGGCTTAAGGCGAGTGGTACTGAAGAAGCGGGATGACTGTGAAACACACAAGAAAGGGATTCATCACAAGACAGGGCGGTAGTGTCTTTGGGGAAATTGTAGCAGTAATGCAAGAAATGTCTTTATCATCCTGCGGGGTGGCGGGAACAAAACGCTGTATTAATAGTGGTTAAGGAGCGGGTGGGGTTTGGCTACAGTAAAGGGATCGGTTTATTTCAGGATCAGCCTCGAGGAACTTTCATTTCCATACACTCCGGCTGCTGTTATCCGCTACATTAGTTTTCATTCTGTAACTTTTAGCTTTCCCCTTTCTTCCTGTCCTCTGCTTTCCTCCCTCTCTGCAGGTGCTGGGTGAGGAGGAGCCGTCAGAGGGAGGCGCAGAGTTGCGCTGGCCCGTCAGGTCCGCAGGCCTGACGGCACAGCTGCAGGCGCTGAGGAAAGCTCTCTACCACAAGTATGTCCAAGAAGTAGCTGCTCTCAAAGAGCAGCACAACCGAGAGCTGAGGAAGCTGACGGAGGACAAGGAGCAGGACAGGAAAACAGCGGAGAGAGGAGAGAGAGGGCAGGATCTCAACGGCGTTAACGGAGCTGGAAGCTCCAGCGAGAGCCTCGGGGCCGCCGGGCACATCGCGCTGGAAGACAAACAACACTGGGAGAGAGTGCAGGAGGAGGTCGCCAAGGTAGGTGGTTATGTATTATGTATTACATAAGTCTTGTCTAGTCAGTATCAATATAACTGGCAACGGATAAATTGCCTTAAGATATGAGATGACACAGTTGAAGTTGTAATAAATAGTCAATGAATTCATATTTAATTTATCATACCAAAAATCAACTAGTATTTGCTGGTTATCTTCATAAACTGAATATCTTTGGGTTGTGGACTGCAGGTCGGACAGAAGAAGGCATTTTTAAAACAGTGCATTTTCACTTCTGTGTGACATGTTTTGATGTTTTATAGACAAAACAATTGACAATAATCAGCAGAATAATCAATAATGACAGTCGTTAGTTGCAGCCCCAGATACATTACATTCATTGTTATTCTGTCAAATCTGATCCCAGAATTGTTAATAACGTTGTATCAGCACTCTTACTGTAGTTTGATTCTAAATATCAATTGGAATATTAATTGTCAACGTTATCGTTGTGTCCATGCTCTCTGACAGGCCATAGTTCAGATGTCCGTGGAGTTTGCGCAGCAGATTGAGCTGGCTCGAATCAACAAGCGTGCCTGCCAGAGGAGCGCCGCCATGCAGACCCGGTCAGATAAGGAGGCGGTGGAGGAGGAGAACGTGGAGCGGGTGACTCCCAGAGCTCCTCTCACCTCGGGTGCCTGGCTGCAGGAAGCAGAGAAGGAGAGGCTGGAGAGGGAGCTGGAGGAGAGGAACGCCGAGATCAGGAAGTTAAGAGAGGAGCTGCAGAAAACCCAATCAAGACCCGAGCAGGTCAGTGTCGTCGTCGACTTCACTTTCACCACATCACACATTTCATTCATTTCATCTGAGAGGGTTCATTACTGCTGTGTCAGTAAGTTTCTGATGCACTTTGTCGCAATGCAGGTGTTGCATCGATTACTATCATTGATTATATATGCTTAAATTAATATTAAGCGCTTTTTCACTAAATTGACTGAGGGTTACGATGAAAGTATTTGTTTAAATACTACAATAAATAATGTAGTTTTATCATGTTGTGTTTGAGGTGTAATCATTTTCTATTCTAATAAATGTTTCTGGTATCCAGCAGCACATAATCCACTGAGGTGTTGTTGATGTGCAGACAAATATTCTAGCCTCCTATAGTTGTATTTACCGAGTATTTCAAATGCAGTTCCTGCATTCCTTTCACCTACACCCTTTATTTCAAAAGCGAGGAACACAATGTACATAAACACACTCTTACTCTCCTCTTTAAAAAGGATATCGCATCCGAATTATCTCACTCTTATACACAGTAAACTTGGATGTAAGACACCAACTAGCATGGAAACATTTTTTTAATAATCATAAACGACGACTACCAATATCAAAACTGTTGTGAGAGACTGAAAAGCTATTAATGATTTCACAGGAAGTATATTTGTTTATCCACGACTGTCAAAGAATAACAAAAAGGTTCTTGATCAAACATACTTTCCCTTCCATCTACGCTGCATGCGCTGGTTTCCTCATGATGGTTTGGGGTTATTTTTCTGCCTTGAGGAGCTAATCCCAGGGCCTGCCAGGCTTTCACTAACCATTTATTGCATGATTAAGCTTTAAGTGTGTGATCGCAGTGGCTGTCGGGTTCAGTGTTCTTTGTAAGATGAGTTGCTCAAACAGCGACTCAGTAAAGATAATTTAGTAGAAGAAAGTTCTTAAGCTTCAGCAATCGGATGAGTTGGTATGATGAGAGAATGCCTGTACTTTCACTGAAAAACACTCAATTGAGATGTTTACATGCATTATGTTCTTGTCTCCTATATTCTCCTCAATGATCTCATCTCTTTAAGAATGTCCTCAAGCTGAACATTGTTGATGATCCACAGAAAGCCAGAAGGATCTTTTATGAAGACATTTCAAGCATAAACCTCTTACTTTGGACAAAACTATTGTCCCAAATAACATGTATGAAGCAGCTCAGGATTTTACATTCTGACATTGTAAGTTTGAAAAACAAGTTTAAGAGAAGAGATTACAAACTCTGAAAAACTAAATGTTTTCCTTAGCTGATAGTATAGAGCCAGAAGGACTTATTTGATTCTTAATAACTTAATTCAAACTGTAATACCATGTTTATGCAACTTTAAATCTGTTAAAATACATAAAAGACATATATTGGCATATAAAGGTATGTAAATTTTGATTGGCAAAACATGGGCAACATCTTTTAGTATAATATAAACCAACGCTACATTACCTCACAATGTGGAGTCAGAACTGGGAACTGTTCTCTCCAAAACACGTTTAAGCGTCACAGGCTTTTGTGCCGTATGTTGTCGGTCACTATGAAACGTGCTCTCGTCGGTCTAAAGAAGTGATTCTTTGGCTGGAGTCAGTTACCGCTCTGACTCATCAGCAGTGTCTGCACGGTGTAGTGTATGAAGGGGAAGTGACTGAAGAAGCAGCGCTGCATTTCTGCCCTTCTCTCAGAAGATGGAGCCATCACCTCTGCAAGTCACTGTACCCCAGGTGCACCTGTTGCCATAGTAGCACAAAGATAGTAGTGTTTCTCTCGGCCCCGAGGGAGTCAGAAGTGTGTGGGGGTGTGTCTGTGTGTGTGTGGTTGTGTGCCCATGTGCCTAATTTGAATGCAGTTTTACTAATGGTCGCGCATACAGCCAGCCTGCTGTTAGTCGGCAGGAGTTTTTTAGGAGTCTTTTTAACCAACTGCAACTTTGCAAATGACGGGGCTGCTCTCTGTGTTCTCTCTCCTGCCTGTGCAGGCCTTAAAGAAGAGACAAGACGGTCCAGAAGAATCCGAGAAAGAGGAAGATCCGGGCAGGCCGAGAATACAGCCGGCTGGAGGAGGCAAACTGTCATCGGAGGATGATGGAGAGTCCTCCGATAAGGACACTGAAAGGTAGTGACTGAAACTACATTCATACGGTTCTCTAATAATGAAGGAGAGCATTCTGAATATTCTTAAACTATGTATTGAGTTGGTCCTTTTTGATAACCTGTGTTAGTGCTGGAGATAAATTAGAGAAGATTCATACATTTAGTCACAGCGGTTGTTTTTAACATAATTGTTTTTGCTGCTTTCAGAAATGTCCTGCGTAAGGCAAACGAGACCCTCAGTCAGGTGCTGGTTGACGTCCTGAAGACGACTGCAGCAGCGGAGGAAACGATGGGCCTCCACATGCAGAGTCTGCGTGGCGCTTCCAGCGCCCCCCCGCCCCAGTCCACCACACAGACGGCAACCTGGCCGAGAGCTAACACCGAGCCCGCCAGACCTCGTGCAGCAGGCAAGTCACTCCAGGGCTCAGTAATAGTTTGGGGTAAATGTTGGTGTTGTGTTTGGGCAAAAGGTTCAACAGCACATCCACCCAAATATGTTGGAGAGATATGTAGAAGAAAAAGACATCAGAAACGTGTGAAATGTAATTAAACTGACTGCACAACACTCCAGTATTGGACTTGTTTTTAATTGGACTTCAACACATCCAGAGTGTTGCTGGCATCCGTGTCTCCAATTTAAGCTGACTTCCTGTGTTGTGGATATAGTCTGTTGTGACAGAGCAACGCTGCACCGTGACTACACAATGCTACTGCATGAACAAAGAGTGAATCCTCCTCTTTTTAGTCAAGCCTGGGGTTTGTAGTTTCTCTTTTCTATAATGGAAAAAGAAAAAGACACCATCAGTTAGTATATGTATGAAAGTGTAAAGTTTTAAAGCACAAATTCGTGGATCAAATGCAAATAATATCTTCTACAGTTAGTCCTGTGAGTCAGATAGATATCAGATTTGCCTGCAGTCCGAATGGTTCTGCATTACTGAAGGTGGTGACTCCATGAGAGCTAAAGACAACAAAGTCTCACGTTACCGGGCTAATCCTAATATTTACTGTAGGTACGACTTTCAAAAACAGAAAACATCTTCTAAAATATGTCACGTCATTGTATTGGGTTGCATATGACTGATTGTATTTGACCATAGACCTGCTGACATTGTGACCATTATTGTGAAGTCAAATCCCTACATTGCTAATGAAAATAATTAAGTAATAACCAGGGACTGGCATAATACCTTTAATCTGCCTCCATGCTGTAAAAGAGCCACTGCTCTATCTTAGTGTTGTTACAATATGACATTTTGTCATTTAAAGGAAATTTTAATATTAAAAACAATGTAAAGTTTGAGCCATCTTGCTGCCTGCTGCTATCATGCACTAAGCCTTACACCATTTCATTTCGTTCAAATGGTTTTAAGAAGCTGCGTTTTTACTGTTTCTGCAGTATTTGATGATGATTGTGCTGATTATTCTCTCACAGTATCTTGGTTTATTTATCTTAAGTTGGAGCAGTTAACAAAACCTCTGTAAGCTTCTTGAAGAAGTTGTAATAGACTTATTAATCAGAATGTAGTGAGTGAACTTTAAATCTGTTGACAATGTAATATGCAATGAGGTTTGTGTGTGCTGTGTTTCTGACCTCTGTTCCTCTGGTCGTTACCAGGTCACTCTGCAGAAAGTTGCCAGGTCAGCGAGACCGCCGCAGAATATGTGAGTCCGTGGTCCGGGGAGACGGAGGCTGACGAGGGGCTGGAGGTGTCTCAGCAGATGATGGAGAAGCTGCTGCTGGGGGCGGGCACACAGCTGGAGAACGAGGAGTATCTGATGGGAATAAGCAGCCGACTCCAAACGGCTCTGGAGAAGATGTTGATGGCCATCACAGACACCAGCAACCAGGTACTAACCTTTTCTGTGAAGTGGCCTTTGATCAATGATCATTGCTCTGCTAGCTCACTTTATTTTATTTTATTTTATTACTGCGTATGGCACTTTCTGCTCGCTAAGAAACTGTTATAGTGTTTAATCTAAGGCATGTTGTTTTTGTACAGTGCACTGTACTAAAACAATACTTCTTTTGACATCTTAGTTTACTGAACATAAATGTTTTTAAACCTTTTTATTTGATCATAACAAATCTGACGAACCGCTGAATGCATCAATGTTAAAGGAATAGTTGGACATTTTGGGAAATGAATCACTTTCTTGCTGAGACTGAGATGAGAAGACATGCATGTGTGTTTCTTAAAATACAAACTATAACATGGTATTACAGTAGTTTAATGTCCTTTGTCAAGTGAAATGGTTTGAGAAGAATTCTTCATGAACACTCCTGTGTTTGTGCAGAAAGCTCTAGTGACACATTTAGGCTTTGTCAAAATATTTAAATACCCACACTGGACCCTGTTAACCCCCCCTGTATGTCTCCACGCCTGTCCATGGAGGCATAATGGGGATGAGACTGCAGAATGTGGCCGGCAACAAAGTTGGCCCGTCTACAACTCTCACACACACAAAAGAGCCGCCTCATTCCCAGCGGTTGCCTATAGATACGAGTTGTATTTACACGGAAGCTTTTGTCCGGTCCATCAGCCTATCGGAGTCGACCGTGCACGGAGCAACTCCCCCCCCCAGGCTGTCCATGTAGTGCGGCCCACTGTGTCCAGTGTTTAACTGGGCCATTGCATGTATGACTGTAACTGACTGCACGGCACATCTTCCCGTTGGCTGATGTTCACGCATTACTCACGCTGAGGTGGCTTTTCATCTTGATGAAACTAAAAATAGCTTTAAAGAAATTTCAGGCCGAGCGTCACTGTTGTTCCAGCATCAATCTGCAGCGCACAGTGACTGTTGGTTGAATGTTAGCTATTGAATAACTTTTAATATGATATAATAAATTGATTAATCTGCAACAATTTAGATTTTCGATCAATCATAAAAAACAATAAATTATATGTCAACGTGTTATTGAAAAGGTATTTTTCACTTTCCCTACATTTTATATTTTAATGATAATAATTCAAGAGAATATTTAAAAATAATAAAAATTTAAAAAAAGGTAGTTGCAACCCCATTAATGACACACTGTAGATTTTACGAGCATCTTACAAGTACACACCATTAACAGCACGATAAACATTGTAATCAACAAAGCCTCTTAATGGTCCGATCGATGATCTCCCTGCTGCTATTGATCCAATGTGCATTACTCTCGTCTGGGGGCGGTGCCGGATCGCCACGTCTTGCCTGAGAAGCAGCGTCGTGAACGGAGATTGAGTCAACGAGCCGGTCAGGAATGTGAAGTATCTTTGCTGAACGAACGCCGTAAATGATTTGCCTTTTGGAAGGCGTTTGCTCACTCATTACTTTACTCCCATTATCTGCCGGTGAGACGTGGAAATTGTTCGAGTGCAGTCAGTGTGACGGTTGACATGCCAAACAAGAGACAGTAGCTGGGACCAAGAGGCAGCATGTCAGAACACCTTGGTTGCTTCTTTCTACGTAGGGAGGGAATCCAGTTTGACAACTTTTTTGTGTAAAGGGCGTGTGTTGTCTGTGGGTTATTTGTGTGTATGGAGAGAGAGAGCCTGTGATCTATTTGCAAATCTACCTGGCCCACTGGCTCTAATTACTTAAGCCACACCTGCTTCCCTCCGACTTTTGCCGAACAGTATCCTGCTGTGTGTGTGATCAATGTAGGAAGTGGAAAGAAAAATCCTCTTCCTGAGAGGTGAAAACAGCCCTGAAGTCTGGAACTAAATCACATTTATTAGAGGGTAGACAGAGGCAAAGTGAGTGTAATAGAGTGACAGTAGCCGGCCAGAGAGAGAGAGAGAGAGAGAGAGAGAGAGAGAGAGAGAGAGAGAGAGAGAGAGAGAGAGA